TCATGACCTGAGCTGAAGTCAGACGCTTAACCGATTGAGCCACCTAGGCTCCCCCTTATTGACTATAAATTTAAACTGCTTCTTATGTTACTTATTTGTTCTGCTTCATAGTGAATCAAATAACTGTATTTTCCTAGAGGAAGCATGAATTTAAGAAATGCAGTACAGAATGATTAAATAAATTACGGCACATCAATGCCATGAACTGCTATGTTCTTAAAAGGATGACAGCTATAGGCACTGGAGTAGCAATGGTATATGTTTAACTTTCAGGTGAAGTGTGGGGGGGTCTTGATTTCCAGCATTTGCCAATTGACATGATGTGAATACTCCTGCCATGGCAGATTTCATGATACCAACTTGATGTCACTGAACACCATTAAATACAGGGTTGAGAAGAGATCCACATAACTGGCTGTTGTAAGCTGGTATGAGCTAGTTCCAGCACACCACTAGTTACGTACTCACATGGAAAGATATCTGAGATACACTACGTGTAAGAAGTTATTTCCGGCCAATATCTACAATGTAATCCCTGCTCTGGTTAAAACAAAAACCTCTTTGTTACTGTGTGTATCAAAACTCATAGAATGGTGAACCAAAAAAGAGAAAATTTTACTGGATACAGGGAATTAAGAAGTGTATAAGAATAATACCTATTGGGGTGCCTGGGTGGCTCAGTCGGTTGAGCGTCTAACTTCGGCTCAGGTCATGATCTCGTGGTTTGTGAGTTCCGGCCCTGTGTCAGGCTCTGTGCTGACAGCTCGGAGCTTGCAGACTGCTTTGAATTTTGTGTCTCCCTCTCTCTCTGCCCCTCCCCTGCTCATACTCTGCCTCTCTCCGTCTCTCAAAAAGATATAAATGTTAAAAAAAAAATTTTTTTAAGAATAGTACCTACCACAAAAACAAAATGTATGTCTGATGTATGTGTGAGCATATGTCAATGTGTCTACACACACATGCACAACAGCACTATTAACAGTGGTTGTCTCTGGGGAATAGGATGGGAGGGCAATTTTCACATTTTACTTTATACACTTCAGTATCATTTGATCTCACTGAAAGTAGTATTGTTTATAATTAATTTTTTTTAATAGAGAGGATTTTTTAAAATGAAGTGAACGAAATGTCCACAGCATATCAATATGATTCATTTTTCTGTGGCTGACTTCTTGGTCATAAAGCAGTTAAGCTCTTAATAACTAGTCACATTTATTGCATCATTCTCTTAACAAAAAGCTGTTTTTAAAATAAATTAACACTTGCTTTGGAGTTATAATTTCCAAAGAAGGATCAAGGATCAACATTTAAAATGGAAAACAGCAGGATGAAATACGTCACAAACAAAACATTCAAATTAGTTGTGATCTCAACATGGATCCTTTGATTAGAAAGAGAAAAGAAGGATTTAAAAAAAAATGACAATCTGTCTTTAAGCATGTACATTGGAAGGGTCTTTGTGGAAAGCTAATGATCTAATCAAGATGAAAGTGAGTTAACCAAATCCCTTACCTACTGAAAAACTGACTAGTGTTAGCAGTCAAATTTGCTTTTCTAATCAGATAATGGCCAGGTTGATGAGCCTGTGAGAGAATAATTCTCACCTCCCTGCTTCTTCCTGGTCACCACCACACCAATGTGCCCTACTTCTTCTATTCTTGACCTGTGACTTCCACAGCTTTCTCCATCCCGTTATTCTCACCTGCCCCTGCCTTTCTTCAGGCCTTGAGTTCTGCAGCACCACCCACCCCAGAGACTCCCTAAGCATCCCTCTTGTTTGTTAGGTATTTTTCTCTGAGATCAGTCCACAGCGGTAGCTTTCAAGTTGTTTGTTTACTTGTCTTATTTTATTATGTTTTAAATGTTTGTTTATTTTTGAGAGGCCAAAAGTGGGGGAGGAGTAGAGCATGGGACAGAGGATCAGAAGTGGGCTCTGAGCTGACAGCAGGGAGCCCTATGTGTGGCTAGAGTTCAGGAACTGCGAGATCATTACCTGAATTAAAGTCAGATGCTTAACCGACTGAGCCACCCAGGCGCTCCTGTTTACTGTTTTAAACCAAACTATTTCTTAAAACCATAAACAGGAGTCCATAAAACAGATAAAGGTTGCTTTGGTTGAAGTAGAGGCAGGGGCAGGAGCACTACTTGATTAGCTTTCCCTTCACACCTATAAGAGCACTTGAGTTTCTGTAGAAACCAGTTTGAAAATGATTGCTTAATAGTTTTGTTTACTGTGTGTTTTTATTATTGGATCAGAGGAGTGTGCCCTAAATAGGGCTCTGAGATTTTAGTGAACAAAAATACAGGATGCCCAGCTAAATTTGAATGTCAGATTTTTATTTTTTTTTTTTAATTATTTTTTTTTTTTACAGAGAACATTGTATTTTATTGCGAAGTGTCAAAGATACTTT